CCTAAATAAAATGTTTTTAATTGTGTACCAGTTTAACGTTGAATATTGTTTATGATTTTAACTTTATAGACAAGTGCCAAAATACTATAATTACGAAACGGGTTATTTAAAGAGAGCATAATTCAGGTGAAGAGTAATGAAAACTACGAAACGGGTTATTTAAAGAGAACATAATTCAGGTGAAGAGTAGTGAGAACTACGAAAATAGTTATTTAAAGAGAAATAGTACTTGTAAAAGTCGAAAGAATAAAACACATCTTTGTATAAGATATATATAATTTTTAACCTATCATCACTTTTATATAACCCATGATTTTAAGGGTCTCTGATCCTTAAAGGTCAGGCATAGACATTCCTAATTTAGAACTACTGACCAGAAGAAGGACAACAAGTCAGAAGCAGCTACTATCTAAGCAGCTGCTCTTAAACAATATTGGCTGTCAAAATTATAAAATCCATACGGCAGAAAGTTTAAGAGTATTCAGTAGAATATCGAGGCTCGAACTTTAGCCCTACGGATTCGCGGCCTACTATGCTAATCTCTAGGCAGCGCCTAGCCCGATGTATATGTATTACTCAAAACATAAATCAAGTAATAAAATACAATTCGATCAGCACAAAAATAAGTTTACATACGATAATCTATCGAATAAAATGTTTAAATTGAACATCCAAAAATTGCTTTATTAATTAAGAACGATCAAAAATAATATAATTCATGTTACAAAAACAAAATGACAAATAATAAGATCTTAGAGAACGCCTTAAACTGGGATAATAGAATCAACAAACTTAAACCAAAGTTACTGCATAAAATTGCCAAGCCTCATTTACTAACAATAGGTAATACAACAGATGCGCATTAAACGTTATGAAGAACAACTTTAAAATGCTAAATAGAGCTAACGTTTTATCTCAGATTTTAAATGACTGTATTACTGACTCTACATAATCAGAGTAAAAGTTTATGTACTAATAAAGTACTAGTTCCATAACATTTTAACCTAGATTTGATTATATAGAACTTTTACTGGTATCTACATATAGCCTTAATTTTACAATCCCTGTACCTATGAAAAATCCCTCAAACAAAACGGATTACGAACATAGCATATGTTCAACCCGCGTCCATTACACGACCAGGAATTACCCGAGAATTCGAAATAATGAAACGTTTGTTCTGGTATCTTTACAGCGGAAAAACAAAATGGCGTGGTTTAATATTAGTTTCAACATTTTAAATAAACTTAGAAATCAAATAATACATTGATGACTTACTTTCTGTTCAATTTGGTATTTTCTTCTGGATTTTGGTAACCCTGAACAGAAAAAGGATTTTATGTCTATGTCTGAAAATATAGAACAAAATCAACAAACCAGTAGTCAAGGTCAGAAGGTTAGAAATGCTGTATGTAGCTGGAATGACTTAGTTTCATTAAATCTCTGTGAAATTAATTTCGCTTGGTGAACTCAGCTTCTACGGGGTTTTCCCAAACTGTGAAGCGGATGTCGAGCTGTTCACATATCGTTTCGTGGAAAAGAAGCTTCCGGAAGTTTAGAAACTGTTACATGAGACTACGCAGAAATCGGTTTACGTAAGATAAGATATATGATATGAAAGCTAAGCATCTTAATGGTAATTTGTTTATTGATACTTGATCAACAGTACGTATAAGATATCATGACGCTAAAATTCGGGGTTTGATTCTCCAGGACGATTGTAAATATTTTAAATATTAGTGCTAGTTCCAAATCCATTGGTTTGTTTGTTATGGATTTCGCTCAAAGCTACACGAGGGCTATCTGCGCTAGCCGTCCCTAATTTAGCAGTGTAAGACTAGAGGGAAGGCAGCTAGTCATCACCACCCACCGCCAACTCTTGGGCTAATCTTTTACCAATGAATAGTGGGATTGACCGTCACATTATAACGCCCCCACGGCTGAAAGGTGTTCGGTGTGACGGGAATTCGAACCCGCGACCCGCAGATTGCGAGTCGAGCGCCCTAACCACCTGACCATTCCGGGCCCCAAATCCATTGGAAAGAAAAACAAAAATAACGAATCATTTTTGAAAAAAAATAATCTTTGTTATGATACGAACAATTAATACATGTTTTGTAAACTTTACACTATATATGCTAATAGAATGCATGTGGCTATGATTGCTGTATGCTATTAGAATGGATCTGGCTATGATTGTTGTATGCTATTAGAATGGATCTATCTGTGATTGTTGTATGCTGTCGGAATGGATCTGGCTATGATTGTTGTATGCTGTCGGAATGGATCTGGCTATGATTGTTGTATACTAGTAGAATGGATCAGATTATGATTGTTGTATGTTATTAGAATGGATCTGGCTATGATTACTGTATGCTATTAGAATGAATTTGACTATGATTGTGGTATACTATCAGAATGGATCTGGCTATTATTGTTGTATGCTATTAGAATGGATCTGGCTATTATTGTTGTATGCTATCAGAATAGATCTGACCATTATTGTTGTATGCTATGTGAATAGATCTGGCTGTGACTATTGTATGCTATTAAAATAGAACCTGGCTGTTATTCATTCATGCCATTAGAATGGATCTGGCTATGATTGTTGCATGCTAATAGAATGGATATATCTGTGATTGTTGTATGCTATCGGAGTGGATCTGGCTATGATTGTTGTATACTAGTAGAATGTATCAGATTATGATTGTTGTATGTTATCAGAATAGATGTGGCTATAATTGTTGTATGCTATCAGAATAGATCTGGCTATGATTGTTGTATGCTATCAGAATAGATCTGGCTATGATTGTTGTATGCTATCGGAGTGGATCTGGCTATGATTGTTGTATACTAGTAGAATGGATCTGACTATGACTTTTGTATGCTATCAGAATAGATCTGGCTATAATTGTTGTATGCTATCAGAATAGATCTGGCTATGATTGCTGTGTGCTATTATAATAGTTCTGGCTATGATTATTGCTATCAAACTTTGAACGCCATGAACGGATACATTGAAAGTTATCTACCGTTTGTAAAGGATTTCGATTAGTTCAAGTGAAAATTTTGAAACCGTTTAGAAACTAATTGATTAAATTTTTAGGCTCCAACGTGTTAGTGGTATGATACAAGCAATAAACATCCCTATATCTGAATAGAAAATTACTAAATCTATGTTTGTAATGAGTGTATAAGTTAATAAAATCTATAAACACACACACACACATACAAATATCACACTTTCACCTATATACACTGTAGATATGAATAAGAAAAGCACCTGGAGAAACACATCCATTATATTTCATATATCAGGACTTTTAATCAATTGATGAAATATATATTGTGGGAATCGTGAAGATCTAGCGAAATTAATTATTGACCTTGGATTCTGTCGTAATTCAGTTCATATACGTCTATAAAAATACTCTCCGCTATTGCTATATCCGTGTATTCTCTACTCTGTGGGGATTCTCTGTATTTAATGGAATATCCGGTAATTGTTGACTTTTATGAACAGTTGCGAATTGTGAAACGTGGGCTGTGTTGCAAACCCCGTGTAAGCAGTCAGTTCCTTTAGAGTTCAACAATAGTTTCCCGAACAGATGGATACGTTTCTCAATGTATGTTTCGTAATCTACTGTGCACTAAAGTCTGTACATAACACTTTTAGCACTGCACAAGTTATTGCAGGATTTACAAACATGATTACATCCAGAACAGTGACCAGGCTCTGTTGATTATTCTACCAATAAATATTGTTACTTATTCTCAGGTTTCTTTATTAAATGTAAATTAATGCTGTTTTGTCTGTCTGCTTCACGGCAAACAGCTTCAGATATAAGCTAGGGCTCCAGAACAGGTTTGTTTTTCTTTCTCAATTTTGAGTTTTTTAGCGTTTCATTTGGAGTTTTTTGTGTTCTTTCATTACATTCTTGGAGATAATTATTAACATTAAACCATGTCTGGATCTTGTTTCTTCTTCGTTGGCTGGCTGTATAAATTAATAATAAGCTTCCGATTCTTGGAAAACAGCGGAATGAGCATAAGAATATAATTGAAAATACACACCAGTATGCGTACTTTAAGATAGAGTTAGTGAAAGAAACATTCACAATTTTCTACAGTAATCAGAATCTCTACGACGATAATATGTTTTCGAATTTGGGAAGTTTCAAATGATAACTGGATTTCAGTGTTTTCGACATTCATTTAAGCATAAAAAACTTTCAGTTGTTCCAATGAATGTTTTCAAACATAGAAAACATTGTCTATATACCGTACACAGAAGGCTAGTATTATTGACGTTTCTGAAATCGTTTGTATTTCATGACGAATGAAAAGGTTCACTTTTGTTCATTATAACAAATATTTGGGTTTTATGATAAGGCTAGAGTGAGTATTATTTTTAAGTTTAATTCGCTCAGTGATATTTTTATTTTTCATAATATTTGTTTGATTCAAATTTTAAGGTAGTTCAGCTTTAGTTTAACAATAAAACATTCAATACCCATCTCTGCTTCAAAATATTTATGGTTAGTTACTGGTTGTTGAAGAGAAAAATTAGGTCCTTTAGAAGTGAGTTCAATGTTTCTCTTGGGAGCTCTTTATCTTTTAAAATACCTACTTTCTCGTAAGAATTATAATGAAATAAACAATCTCCTTCATGAATATCATTTACATGAACTTCGCGAGATTTACTTGAGTTATATGGATTAACGCTTAGATAAACAAAATTAATCCTCATTAATGGCGCTAATTGTTTTATAAACGGACATATGATAAAATATTTCCTTTCTTATGTTAGCACAGTAATGTATTGTCCATTGTATGATGTTTTTGGAACTCTGAATTATTCCTGATGTCAACAAAGTACTGTTCATTGTACACCATTATGTGGAATTGTGGGTTTTTCCTGCCGTCAGCTTAATAAAGTAGTGTCTATCGCATGAGGTTGTGTGGAACTGGTAGCACATTAATTGCATAAAGTTATGTGGGACTCTAATGTTGGAAAATATGTACAGTTTTATAAATGCTTGACAAGAAATCACATCGTTAGATAACTTCCTTTGAACGCTCTAATCCGTTTATTTATACGTTGATTCCTATTCAGAGAACTGATGATACTGATATGTTAATCTGATATATTTGTTTGTTTATGAGCACAATGCTGAGTCACCGGAAGCTTATCTGTTATTAAATTCTGGGGTAAAATTAAGCCTTTAATTGATTATACGAAAATACTTTTTAGAGTTTTACTAAATGAATTTATCTTGCAACGTTTTGGCCTCAGGCTTACTTCAGCCAATGATCGAACTATAACTGAATTGGATGGAATATCACTTCAATATGTTCTGAGACACTGAGATCCACTTGTTATTTACATAACAATACATCAACAAGAACATTGTTAGCGACATGTAGCAAACAGTAAATGTCCTACAAAGTGAATAGAAAATAACTTGATTTGATTTACACCCTAGATGAGTTAAGCATTGTACAAAACACGACTCTTCTCCCTCCAATTATGGAGTCCCATCGCAAAGTGTTTGTCAGTGCGTCGTCTAGGTAACGTGGCGCCATCCGTATGTCCGACTCAACGATTACAGAGAGGCAACAAACCCGCAAAACACTTTTAATTTAATTTTATCTTTATCTATTATTATATATATATCTTTTTTTTAACATCAAGCACGGCCCGGTGTGATGCGGGTAGCTGGTTCGAATTCCCGTCTCACCAAAAATGCTCGCCCTTTCAGCCGTGGGGGCATTATAATGTAACGATCAATCCCACTATTCGTTGGTAAAAGAGTAGCCCAAGAGTTGGCGGGGGGTGGTAATAACTAGCTGCCTTCCCTCTAGTCTTACACTGCTAATTTAGGGACGGCTAGCGCAGATAGTATGTCAGATATTATTCAAACACCTAAAGTATTTTCGATTATTTGTAGTGAGTAAAGAACTATACATATAAACCAAACAAATTAAATAGAATCTGTCAAGTAAATGTACGCGAATCACGAACTCTAGGGTACACCTAGCACTAGGCTACGACCGGTCTCCAGTCAGGTTTAGAATTGATTTCTATTTACGAACATACTATGTTACGAGGACCGGGTGTGACCTAATGATTAGCGTGCTCAGACTGTAAATATGAGGCATCTTGGTTCGCGTTCCGTTACCACAAAAATGCACTCAAAACTTCGAGATCATGGGTATGCTATAAAATTGACGGTCTAATTTATTTATTTATTGAAACAAGAATAGCCCAAGAGTTGGCAGTAGACGCCTCTGACTAATTGTTTTCCATCTTGCTTATCAGTTCAAAAGTAAGAACATCTATTAGGTCATCAAGAAATTATACATCAAAACAAACCATTTATTAAATGAAATAGTCTCCATTCTTATCGATGATGCATTTCCATCTTACAATCAGGTTGTTAATGCCCTGATTAAAGAAATCACTTCGA